GATATGCAGCTCACTGTGTAGCTGCTGATCAGTCGACATCACACTCCCAAGGTAGCGGAAGCGGGAAGTGGTTTCCAATACTTCAGCACCAATGCTGATTCGCAGCAATATTGAAGATTGCACAGTCGGTGAAGGCTGAAAGAGACAGACCGTTTTGCTTGTGTTGGTGGTGAGCCCGAATTTGGCCGCTGTGGAAGCCAGAGCACTAGTCATGTGCTGCATTTCATTCGCGCTGTGTGTAAACAACGCACAGTCGTCAGCAAACAGCAACATACGGATAGTTGTCTCACAGACTAGAGTTCTCGCATCGAAACGACAGATGTTCAACAACCCACCATCAATACGGTGTTCCACACGAACCCCGTAAGCACAAGCGGCATCAAAAGCACAAGACATGATTACGTAAGGATATATATGAAACAGGGCAGGAGCTAAGACACAGCCTTGCTTCACACCATAGACAACGGCAAAGTCATCTCAGATCTCTCCAATCAACTGCACCCTCGCTCGCACACCACTGTGTAGATATTCAATTAACCTTACAAACTAACGCGGGCAACCAAACGTATCCAACACCAGCTACAATGCCTCACGGTTCACCTTATCAAATGCCTTGGTGACATCAACAAAAAGCGAGTACAACGGCTGGTGTCGTTCTCTGCACTTCTCCTGCAACTGACGAGCCGCAAACACCATATCTATAGTGCTGCGACCCGAGCGGAATCCGCATTGCTCTTCCGCCACGCTAGGTTCCGCAACCAGACTGACAAGGTGGTTGAGCAGGATTCGGGCAATCACCTTGCCCACACAACTCAGCAAGTTGATCCCACGATACTTCGTGCAACATTGCTTGCTACCTTTGCCCTTGTACAGTGGTAGCACAAAGGCATCCGTTAGCTCAGGAGGCACCTACCCATCAATTCATACGCGTTGCACCAAGTGGTGCAGGGCACTTACCAACGTGGGTCCGCCGTGTTTCTATACTTCAGGCGGGATCCCGTCGGCTCCGGCACATTTGCCGTTCGCAGCTGAGCAAGTGCTCTCTGTGTCTCATCCAGTGTCTACGTGTCCGCCAGAATCGTATTCACACCGTGCTACTTCATGCAGTTCAAAGTAGGCCAGTCTATCTCTGAACGGTGGTCCAAGAGACAGTCAAAGTGTTTCCGCCAGATATGCATTATGTCTGCAGTCTGTGTGCTGGTAGCGCCGGAACAACCATCGATCAGCCTCCTCAGCGGCTCCAATCTCGGTCCATACACCGCCTTCAAGGAGTCAAAGAATCCCTTGTGTTGGCGGCGTTCGGCGTAGCATTCCATTTGCTTCGCCTTCTCTGTCCACCCTGCATTTTTATGCGACGCAGCTCTCGGGTCAGTCGCCGTCGAAATTTGCGAAACTGACTACTCTTCCCCAAGTCACTGGGGTCTGCGACATGTGCAGCAAATGCTGCATTCTTCCCCGACACCAATGCGCCGATCGTCGCCTTGTTGTAATCAAACCAATCAGGCCGTTTACAGTTTGCGCGCCCGATGGTCTCCTCGGCAGCAGCTGTCACCTGGTGGCGTATGGGTTGCCACATGTCGCCCACTGTGGCTACACAGTACACATCACACAGGCGTGCAGCCATCGCCTTCTCCAGCTCAGTACGTTTCGCCACGGTACCGAGGGAGAGAATGTTAAATTTACGCCGATTCACGGTGGGAGTTCAATACATTGATTTACAAAAATTTATGTACAGTTTGGTCCGCACCAACTTGTGATCAGTGCCACACTCAGCTCCACGCAGTACACGTGTCATGCGCACTTCACGCATATCACGCTGACGTACGATGACATAGTCGAGCAGGTGAACGTGACCACTCCGTGGGTGCGTCCAAGTTGCTATATCACTCGCACTCAGTGCAAGCCGAGTGTTCATGATCGTCAGGCCGTGAGTGGCACACAGTGAGAGCAGCCTGTCACCGTTCGCATTCGCTGAACCAATGCCATGCCAACCGATAATATCTGTCCACACCAATGCATCACGCCCAACGCGCGCGTTGACATCACCCAACAGAAATAGTCGGTCGCTCCTCGGCACAGACCGTATCACGGAGGATAGCTCAGTGTAGAATTGACCACGCGTGTCATCAGGATAACATATAGTTGGACCGTACGTGCTTATAATAGTAGCAAACTTACCTCTCCCGCGTCGTAGGCGAACATTCATCAGTCGCGCGCTGATGCCGTTGGTTCACCCACTAGGGGGCCATGGATGCGATCGGATATTGCGAGTCCGACCCCATGTTCACGTGGTGCTGAGGCAGCGTTGCCCACTCAGTAGTATGTGTTGCCAGCACCTGCCTCATGCAACTTACCTTGCTCAACGAGCAGGGTTTCACTGAGCGCCGCAATATCGATGTAGTAGCGCTCCAGTTCCCGCGACGAGTGCAGTGTGTCGCTCCGGGCGCTCGCTGGAGTACCGGTCCAGTAGTGTTCGCACGTTCTAGCACCCGATGCTGAGTGCTTTGCGCGCAGGCATATGACTGCATTGGTGGGCGAACGCACGCAGGGTGGCGGTTGTGCTGCGGAGATTTGTTTGAGGGACTCCGCCCGAAGCCTTTGGCTTAATAGCCTGACCCACAAAGCAGTGGGTGATTTGGAGGTTTGCTTGAGGGCCTGCACCAGGAGCCTTTGGCTCAATAGCCTGACCCACAAGGCAGTAGGTGATTTGGAGGTTTGCTTGAGGGACTCCTCCCGGAGCCTTTGGCTCAATAGCCTGACCAACAAGGCAGTAGGGAGCAGATCCAGCTCGGGAATGTGATTGCAGAGACAGATTGGGATCTATTTGACGGCCGTCACACGCAGCCTTTGAGGTTGTGGAACATTTTATATATGTTTTGCGACCGTAGTAGGATATACATGTGACCACGGCCAGACGCAGGTGGATTTTGGCGGGTTTGCACCAATTTAACCAGGGGATGCCTGGCTTGAGGCGGGCAGTAGCAAACAATTGAACACCCGGAGGTGTCCTCCCACCGTCAGAGACAATGCGTGGCGCTTGTGCACTAGGTCAAGCGAACTGTGAGCTTATAACCCGTAGACCTGTTTTCTCTCATGGATAGGTTTTACGGGAAGTGGGCTATCGACCACTTCCTAACCTCTGAAGAGGATGGACTAGGATACTGCCAGGGCGCCCACTCCTGACAGGAGAACGACTTAGGTCCTCAGCCAAAGCCTTCGATTAAATGAACACCGGAAAGGCAGCGGGTCTAGCACATGGTCAGTTCATTGACTCTTGCGGATTGGTGTCCTGGATCTTAGCAGGGAGAAGGGCTAAACCCAAATCCCACCCAGCGATCGCCACGAGAATGCGCCCAGGACATGAGCAAATGACACATCAGTAGCAGCAGTGGGTAGACCATCTGTCAGGATCAAGCCACCTCCAGCCTCAGCGCACCATAGCTCTCCCGCCTTTATACTGGAGTTAAATTAAACATGTTCCTCTGTTCAAGTAGCAGATTTAAGCCTAGGCACAATGAACGCTACTAATACCTTTGTCCGGTATTCATTCATTCATCATTCATCATACACGTTAGCTAGAGGTGGGGAACACCTCAGCTACTGTGCCGCAATATATAGAGAAAAAGGAGAAAATAAAAGCAGCTGGTGCAAGCTGGCTGAGCTAGCGGTAACGGATGGGCATCGTTCCGGTAAGCTACCAGCCGGCTGCTGTTCACCCAAAAAGAAAAAAAATATTATGCAAGATTATATAAGGCTAAATAATGAGATCGTGGTTGGAGGGGGAGACTAAGAGGGATGGGGTGGGACAAACAAACTCACAGCACGAACGCCACTGAGGTCGGCTCCCAGCCATATCAGCAAGTGTGCCCAACCAAACGTGTTCATCGTCTTTCGGACCCCAACCAGGGAGCCGAGACGCTCCAACCGAGGCCAGCTCAGAAGTGAGGGTCTTCATTCGTCTCGACCAAGTCATCGCTTGGCCACCCCTCCTCTTCTTCCATCCACATTCAGGGTGAGCAAACAATGCACATCGTGGAACTCGGTGGGCTGGCATGCATAACATGTTTCCGAGCCATCGGAGCCTGGTGCGGGAATAACGGTGCTGAGCGGTTCATTTCCTTTTCCTGTGCCATAAACAAGGCGTCGAACACGCTCGTTGCTCACGCGGTGTTCCCACCAGATGTGAGCTAAATTACGAAGGCACCGGTGGTCGAACGTAACTAGCCTCTTCATGTCCGCTGCTTTAAGCGGCCAGGTTTCACAACCGTACAATAGGGTCGAACGTACTGCTGCATTGTACACTCTACGCTTCAGGGCAAGAGTGATGCCGCGCCGGCGCCATAAGTGGCGAAGGTTAGCAAAAGCACTTCGAGTTTTTGCTATACGGTTCGTGATTTCATCTTCAATCCCACGGGCGCTGATACAACTTCCCAGGTAGTTGAATTTTTGAACGACTTCTAGCTGATCCCCACCAAGGGTCAGCGTAGGAGGCAGTCCAGACCAATCTTGGAGAAACGCTTTGCACTTCGATGGTGCGAAGCAAAGCCCGAAGTGAGGGAGAGCTAGTGCTAATCTGTCCAGTACCGCTTGGCACGTTTGTGAGCTGTCACAGATGAGGGCAATATCATCAGCATACTCTAAATCAAGAAGTCGTTCTCCTGGGAGTAGAAGTCGTTCTCCGGGGAGTCCGGTATTAATTCATCACGGAACGAGAGCATATCTAAGGGTCGTTAGGGTTAGATGTGAGCTGGTGGCGTTGAGCCCAAGACCAAAATAAAAAGTACATGCTAATGTGTACCAACCAAATATTTTTATCTGGTCCCTGCACCATCTTCGCTTTTCTGTACTTGCTGATCTTAATGTCAAAGTGCGCACCATTCGCCCTTGCCATTTGAGTCCTGATTTTACGCAATTACTGCTTTTTGTTAGGTTACTACTAACCCTAAAGGGAACGAGCGTGTCGATAGCCCACATTGATATATATTTAATTTGCATTGCAGGAAATGACGCGCCAAATTTTGTTTGAGAAAATTTACAGTCTTCTGGCCCAGCAAGAAATGCTCAAACTGGAACTCGTGACTGCGAAAGAGCACTTGATGGCTGACCCATCGACGTGGAACTTTGGCTGTGAGTAAACTGCAATATTCTAAATAGTGCTATCAACACAGTCTATTATGAAGTATTTCCATCTCCAAGAAATTGCAAGTTGCCTGTTTATTGATAACACACCCAACTATAGAGGGTCCAAAAATTTTGGGCAACCATTATGGTATTTATTGAATTAATAAACATCACTTCTGTGTAAAGCCATCAATATCCGTAGCGCTGCAGTCTATTCTGAATGTTCGCTTTACCCAAGCACTAATTTTATAACTGCATCTGCCGGGTTGATTACGAAAACTTAAGAAGCTAGAAATTAAACATTTAAATCGCTGGAACATTGGTGTGATAATCGTCCCAGATTGTGTGCAATGACTCTAGGTTGCGGTCAGTTGTTGGCTCATTAATAGTATATCAATTTTATAACATGCTCAACACCAAAAGCGTTTCAGTTGCACTTCAAGTTGTTTAGTGTCCTTAGTCCCTTTTAGGCAGTCATATTTGGGGAACCGCCTAGGTTTCTAACACACGTTAGTGAAAACGAGTATTATTCTGAGAGTCCCTTGTTACGAGACCTCCGGAATAGTTAGCGCTGGTGGACATATTCCTCAACTTCCTTAATCAGTATACATACCCATCAAAACTTCTGTCCCTATTCTGAACCCAAATAAAAGGTTATGGTTGCTTTAGCTTACAAGCTTTTAGAAGCAGCCTTTTCCTTTCTCAGATGTTAAATGGGGTAACGTACGTAAGCTTATCTAATGTGTACATAAAACAGGAACATCTACTGAAAAATGCCAATATACCTGGGTCGATATAGCTGCTGTGTGCAGTGGCGTGATAGTGGGATCATACGGTGGTTTCAGTAAAACCCAACACACCCATACCCAAACCGTTTCGCTACGCATCCCGGAAAGGGGGTGAGTGCTTGACTCGTCCTTGTACTGTCTCACTGATCTGGGGGTTCTTTGGATCCGCTGCCCGTGTACTTAAGTGGAGAAATCCCCCGGGCCCCGATAAGCACCACCTAATGTGCCACCGGTTTGCTGGCAGCTTTTACTGCGGCAAGAAAATATTTTCCACAATCTACTAAACTATGTTGATAGAGCTTGATCCGTGGGAGACGGAAGTTGAATCAAAGCTATTGTTTCCTGACCAAGGAGGAACTTCCGCATTCCTAGGCCCCGAGAAGCAATCGCCCACCGTATTTCTGAGTGTCAGCAGCGTTACTAGTTTCTATTAGTAATCTTAAGTAACCTCGTAACTTTTTACGCAACGCAGATCACTTCCTTGTCATAATCGAGTCAGATAAATAAATGCATGAGATATAATAAGCCATGCTGCTTATGAATTAGAAGGATAGTAAAGCATTTGCCATGGCTCCCCAATTGATAACTGTTGATCCTGAACACTAGTGGATTCCAGTGCATAAACCGTATAACAATAGGCACAAGACCCTATTTTGCTTGAGGTCCATGACTGTATACACACAACCAGCGAGTAGACGTTATGAATATAGGGAATCGTGGCGGAAACAAAAATCACTTCGCTACGTAACCATTCGGCGATTTAGTCACAATGACAGCTGAGACTTGGAAGATTTCGTCGCTTTGTTGCTAGTCAGAAAAAAGTCCAAATAGCAAACCTGAATTTTGACTGAAATCACTGTTCCTTTTCTCACACCAGTGTACGTTGCAGAACATATGGATCCAAATGAAGCGGGATTTTTGAAGGCTTTAGAACAGGAGACAGATCTGTTACGCCTCCGAGTGGATGCATGTAAATCCCACATTATGATGATCACATGTTTCGACTCGTCCGATGACCAGCCACCAAGTTAGCAAGAACTCCCACACTCAACGCGAGGTACGCCCACCTTAGAAGCCAACTTGGGGACGTAGTCACCTAAACGGAAACAGATTGTGCAACCCCTTGACAAGCTTTCAATATTCGAAAGCAGAAGCCATGCTTCTACTCAACGTTTCATTGTTAAACTCCACCGATCTCAGAGTCCACCAAAACCTCGAGTGATTTATGTGATGTATAGCTAAGCAGCTGTATTTTAGTCATGTGAAATATTTTTTACTAATTCGTACTGCCGTGTAAATTCCTTCCTTATTTCTACGCATGCGCAAAGTTACCTCTTCTCGATCGTTGAATTTCGGTTGTTCAGATAAAACTATTTGCTACTCATGACTGCTGTAGCTCGTCTTGGATTTATTTGCCATAATCTCCAGCCACCATAATTGCCACACTTGCAAGAATTGGATTCTACGCTTAATGTTAAAATCTTTCCATGGTTCTCCTCCGTTGCAAGATTTTATCTTCAAGCTAGTTTCAGCGGACGATCATTTTTAGTAGACTGTCTCTAACCGAGAACCCTAGGACAAACCTCAGTAACATTGATTGCGCTGGTCGTCCTTTGACAATGCTTCTTCGGACGCATATCACTTACATTAGCTTACCATAGAGCACACACGCTAGAAAACTTATTCCACAATATATTAAATCAAAGAACCTGTTTTCGTACCTCCTCAGGCTCTCCCAAGGTGCTTGTTTTCTGATCTACCATGACACCTTGAATGATCCCTGACATGTTGCCGCCCAATTCTTGCCCTGCCAAGTATTGCGTCTTAGGTGAACCGTAGGGATGAGATTACTTGCCCCACGAGCAAGCCGATATTGACATTAGTCGCAGAATAAAGCCTCAAGTACAACCTCTTGAATGAGTGCGAGCGAGCTAAGTGTCGCAGTAAGACTTCGCGCCAACAAATCAAGTAAATCATATCGGTAGTTTTAAATATAGTCAGATAATATAACACAGCTCACAGTCTAGAGGACGGCCAGTTGCAAGTTGATAATTTAAGTGGGCCGTACCCACGGTCGAATGAGTAAACCTGTGACTTCAAGTTCATAATAAGGAGTAGTATTCTCAAGTGCAATACAACCAGAAGTGGGCTGTGTTTAGGTCGTATCCTATGAAAACGGGATAGCAAAATATGAGTGTGTCACTTAAGCTACGCTTAACTTTTGATTTAACTGTCAAATGAAAGTTATTGTGTGTCATTCGTCCATCATTATCCATTGTCAACAAATTTTCATTTGTTGGCTACAGGAAATATGACCAATGCTCAAGTAACCAGGGCGCTAACTGAATGCATAACACAAAGTCTCCTGGCATACTGGTACTATTCCACATTCGTTGCTTATTTGTCTTTCCCAAGTTTCTGATACTAAATTACATAAACTTCAGCACTGAATATAGTACTTCGACTACTAATGAAGCATGTGCAATCAAATTACCCGACGCGGTGTACACTATACGAACTTCACATCAGGTGTTTATTGGGAGTACTCGGGAATTCTGCTTCGCTGTTGTCCATTCTTGTTTGCTGGGTCACTGGCTGAGATGCAGTCTGTAATCACGGTTAATAATGCCTCCGGCTCAACCAGTAATTTGCGGCCACTGCCTAGACTGGGATTACTTAAACTTTCAGAAGCTTCACTCTGGTCGTTAAAATGCAACTCTGTGTTTCCATGTCTGTTGCATACCAGCCAAAATTTTTTAACCTACGAAAAAAACATAAACAAAACACCATTTTCTCTATGGGTAACGGCTGGGAAATGATCCCATGGTTCAACTGGACTGCGTGAATAGGAGTATGGGAGGCTAATATTACTACTATATATAGAATTGGGTATCGACTTATCGCTAAATATTCGTGCCGTACACTTGATCAACCGCGACTGACTGTATGCCACAGAGCAGGGGTAAGAACAATAAGAAAAAGAAAGGACTGATCGCAAGATCATTGTGAAGTACTCTTTTGGTGTATGGTTTGCGACACACAATCTCAAGAGATAGCAGTTATAGCATGCCACAACACGTACTAGTTAGGGTGCGATCCAGGCCCACATCCGATAGCGTTCCCAACCGGGAGTGCTCACTGGGTTTTGGCCCACAACCAGGGAGTCTGGAGTGCCTCGTTGCGACCAACTGTTTTGTCAGTCTTAACCTCCCGGAACCAACTCGTGCAATAGTCGCTTTTCGGTCGCTTCCAGCCAACATCGATGGGAGTAAAGAGGGCACAAAGAGGCAAGCATTAGGTTGGCGTGCGTAGCACGTGCCTGAGCAATCGGAAAATGTGCGCAGAAATTATGTAGCTCATTGGTAGGACAGAGTATGTCTGAGTTGAAAACCCGACAGTGAACATCATCACTACTAACGTGATACTGTCAACGTACAGTGGTGATACTCCGGAAGCAATGGTAATTCAAAACAGGCGGTCTCTGGACATCACTTGCATAAACGGGCCTGGCCACGTGCTGTTTCTGCCGCAGCGTTGTAGAGTCGACCTTTTAGTGAAAAGCTGAGATTTTGACTGCGCTAGATTTCCGAATTGTCAAACATTACCTTTCATTTGGAGATACGCAAAGAGGTCTTATTTGTTAAACTACCTACGCTAATGTAGCTCCCAAGTGATCCAACCTTGTTGAGTCTTTCCTAATGGGGGCACAACAGTGTGAGAATTTGTGCAGTTTCTAGCCAGCCCCAAATGAACACAGTACTTCAGTGAGACATGCGTCATCATGAACTATAAAAGACATCCCTAACATGGGCAGCAGGTTCTGTACAACCAGCAATCATATTACAGCGCTGTGGTCAAGATATTCCAACTAACTAAACAGATCATCCGACAGCAGACGAACTCCACTAGGTCCACAGTATTCCAGAGTGCCTACCAAAATGTCACCCTTAGTGAAGCGCAAAATTAAGGAGGATGGAGGACAAGCCTGTCTCACATCACTTTTTATAACAACAAGTTGAGAATAACCACCATATGCCCATACTCTGACCCAGTTTAAATCATATCTTACATGGAGTGTGTCTAGAAAATTCTCGCTTAATATCGTTCGCAGTAAGTAATTACACAGTGCAGCTGTATCAACTGAGTAAACAAAGCAATTTTGTCCACTAAGTAAATGATGGTAAGTCCTGAAATTGCGACCGTGCTGTGGCAATTGGCGAATAATAAACATACAAGCAAAACGGCTTCGACATCGGTAAAATGCAGTGTGCTCTTCCTGTGTATGCTATTGAAGTACCTGACTGAGCATCTGCCAAAGAAGAGAAGCAACCAAAGTTAGGATTTACCGCAAGGGTGTCCAAACTTTTGCAAGGAGGGCCACGATTTGTGAGGCAAAAATATGTCTGGTCATTTTCAGTTTGCCATTAAGATAATAACCGAAAGTACACATGTATGAAAAATGTCCAAGCCTGAATCTATTATTTCATGATGAAGCCGGTGGCCAGTTGAAATGTTAACGCGGGCCGCATTTGACTCGCTGGCCGGAATATGGACACCCTTGATTTAGAGTACCCAATGAATTGGGATCGCGACATGCAATCCCTATTGAGACCTAGGTTTACTTTGAAGTAGACCGCCATCATTCAGATCACTAAGATCGTAGCTGAATTCGAAGGATCCCGGTTGTTGTATGTTTTCGACACCGCACACAACTTTGGATGCAACATAGGGTGTTAATTGTTCGATCGTAGGCGAATTCTGTCTGAATGCAATTGTTGAAGACAGGCACGATATCCGTTAAGCTGTTATCAGATTTATGTGGTCGAAAATGCTTGGAGGAAGGAAGTAATTTCTCGAAGAAGAAGCAAGTCTCTATGTTTGAAAAGAGCCGGAATCAACTTGTATAGGCCAAGAGATTAACGATGCTTTAGAAGACAAGCTGAGAACACCAATTTGTCCTGATATAGCAACGGTGCTTAATTACCAGTACGTTATGCAAATACAGAAACAAGCACTCGAAGACAACGCTGAATATATGAACTGTTCTTCAAGCCTGTTTCAACTCCATCAGAATGCACATATATTACGTCAAGTTCAAAAAAAAAACACAAAGCTTTAGGCGAACAATTGTTTTCGATTAATTCCTCGTCAGGCTCATAAAATAATATAATTTAGGGTAAGGTATGTTGCATTCGTCAGCATAACAAAGAACCAACTCAGCTAACTCATAATTTGAAAAGCACGGTAAGAAGACGAAAACTGGTAGATGAATGCATTTCGTATTGTCTCCTCAGTATCACTGACAATAACCGGTATGCAACTATATACATAAATATGCGTGTGACCGAATAAGCATGAGGTACAACATGAATGACGGAAGTTCCAACCGTATGTCCACGGCAGTCTTTAGCTGATAAATAATTGCTTTTGAACATACAGAACCGGCTTCATCCGGCTTATTGCAACCGCCTACTGGAAATGGAGGAATCGGCGATTAGGGTGACGTAATACAAGTGTGCACCCTGATCCAAGCTCTACCCGGTGACGCGTAGTCAGTAGGTGTTTACTTATTGAGGAAGCTGGCGGCTTGCGCAAGCACGGAACTTCAGTGGAACTGGGAGGCTGGTCACTTTCACGTTGAACCCACCTTGGCACGTGTTCCTTTATTCGAGAAGTCAAAGACCGATTGGTTCTGCCTATGTAACTATCTCCGCAGTCGCACACGAATTTGTGTATGCAGTGTGAGCTGGTCCCTATCGGTTGAGCTTCCTTCGTTGTAGGCACCGGCCAGTTACAGGTTCTATTGATGACCACAACCTGAGCAGCACAGTAACTTCTCTGTGTAGCAGAAATTAAAATGTCCTACTTTTCAATACAGTTATCGCAGCCTTTAACGGCAACTCGCTATAGATCATTCTCTTGGCTGCCGTATGCACCAAGTCTTTCGGCCTCGCTGTTGGTTGTGTTTCTCTATAAACCATAACCATTTGCAACGGTTGTTGTTGTAATTAACCACCTCGTCTGCTAGACAATAAGCCGAACGAATTCATCTAGCATGACCAACTAAGTTTTCACAAGGGTCCGCTTGTACCGCACTGGTGTGAAGCTGGTGAAGTGCAGGTATTGGCCGGACCAGCTTGCTTTTCTGTAGATAGACCTTTTAATGAGTCCGTCATCCCTGCGACTGATGAGGATGTCTAAGAATAGCAGACAGTTCTTCTGTTCCACTTCGCAGGTGACCCGTAAGTTGGTATGTGCACAGCTGAGTTGCTGCACAAACTAGGCAATCT